TAGTGATATATCATAAACCAAAGTACACACTCTGTAGTGATATATCATAAACCAAAGTACACACTCTGCAGTCATATATCAGCATCGTCAATCAAATATTGAAGTTCAAAGTTTTTAATAAAACTGACGACTTTAAAATAGTAAGTTTTGGATTTGCAGAGACAAACATTCCAAACAAGTTATGTTACATTGTTTACTGCTCACAGGTGATTATATACAGTACAGTTTGTTCGACATGAAAAAGCTTCTTGGACAGGGCTGATAAACTCACTCTCGCATTTTCCACGAACGAGATGGTCGCCGGTGGGTTAGCTGTAAATTTACGGACTTACAGTGCTATAATTCAGGGTCCGATTTCCGGCGGTGGGCATAGCACACACAGACAATTGCGTTAAAACAACAACATAAGAGGCTGTTTATATCGTTTTGGGTCGAGCGTGGTTCGTGCCCCATTACCATTAGGGGGGGGGGAAGTTGCTCCTCACGATGGGTCCGTAGGTGCGTCTATTAGAGTGGCGATCAAATCCCTCAATGCGATCATAGTATGCCACAAGTTGACGGTAGGTGGTGATGACTAGCTGCCTTCCCTCTAATCTCTCACTGCTAAATTAGGGAGGGCTAGCGCAACTAGCCCTCGAGTAGCTTTGCACGAAATTCAACAAAGAACCTATCGTACTTTTAAACACAAAACTCATTCGATTTTGTGGTCAGCTCAATAATATTTTTGCAACTAATTATGGATCAGTAAGTTTACAAAATATCCAAAATTCTTACTTTATTACGTCCTTAAAAAATTATTTAATGTAATAGTGAACCGCCATTAGGGTTAACAGTTCTGTGTATGATATGTAATAGTGAACCGCCATTAGGGTTAACAGTTCTGTGCATGATATGTAATAGTGAACCGCCATTAGGGTTAACAGTTCTGTGCATGATATGTAATAGTGAACCGCCATTAGGGTTAACAGTTCTGTGCATGATATGTAATAGTGAACCGCCATTAGGGTTAACAGTTCTGTGTATGATATGTAATAGTGAACCGCCATTAGGGTTAACAGTTCTGTGCATGATATGTAATAGTGAACTGCCATTAGGGTTAACAGTTCTGTGCATGATATAACATTTCGTCATTAGTTAAGTTACGGAAGTCATTTTCTGATGACTTTATTTGCCATTTTTGTGACTTATTATATCATTCAACCTTCTCCAGACTTATCGCGTTTACTTTTCGACTTTTATACGGTGTTTAACATTATTTATTATTTCCTGTTATCCGTTCCGGGTGTTTTGTTAAGTGTAATAGTTAGATAGTTTGTAGCTTAAGCACAAAGTTACACAATGAGCTATCTGTGCTCTGCCCAGTAGGGGTATCGAAACCCGGTTTCTAGTGTTGTAGGACTGCAGACATGCCGCTGTGCTACTGAGGAGGGGGAAAGAAAAGTTAGTTAAAGTTTGAGAAGTTATGTCAGGAACACCTAATAATATATTTAACATTTTGCTAAGACATCCAAGATAAGATAACAGTGTAACTTGAGACGGGCATGTCATCCAAGATAAGATAACAGTGTAACTTGAGACGAGCGTGACATCCAAGATAAGATAACAGTGTAACTTGAGACGAGCGTGTCATCCAAGATAAGTAATTACGACACGTGTTACTGTTTTAGTGTAAAGTCGAGTAGTAATAGGACAGCACCAATAGTGTAGCAAACAAAAAAAATTACTGTTTTCGATAATTTACAAAACAATAAATAGTAAATTAAATGAAAACATGAATCGTGCAATAAATATGATACTGGTACTCTAAATAGAATATAACCATGTTAAATGTCAGAAAACAAAAAAACGCTCGTCTCAAGTTACACTGTTATCTTATCTTGGATGTCACGCTCGTCTCAAGTTACACTGTTATCTTATCTTGGATGTCACGCTCGTCTCAAGTTACACTGTTATCTTATCTTGGATGACACGCTCGTCTCAAGTTACACTGTTATCTTATCTTGGATGTCACGCTCGTCTCAAGTTACACTGTTATCTTATCTTGGATGACATGCTCGTCTCAAGTTACACTGTTATCTTATCTTGAATGTCACGCTCGTCTCAAGTTACACTGTTATCTTATCTTGGATGTCACGCTCGTCTCAAGTTACACTGTTATAATATTTTCGTGGGTTATCATTAGTCACGAGATGAAGGCCCGGCACAGCCAGGTGGTTAGGGTTCTTGACTCGCA